CGGCGGCTCGGCAACGGACGGCGGTGGTGGCGGCTTCCTTGCCGCGGTTCACGGCCATGGGAGGGTAGGGAGAGAGAGAGAGAAAACCGAGAGGGTGAGGGGGATGGTGGTGGCGCAATGAACGGCGATGGCACGACGGCGGTGACCGGCGAACGGCGGTGGCGCGGCCAAGGGGGGGCGGTCGGTCGATGAGGGGGAGAGGGGAAGTGAACCGAGTGAGGAGAGAGAGAGAATGAGGAGAGAGAGAGGGGTTTTGGGTTTTAAACAATCCAAGGCAATAATTAAGGGGCAATTGACCATCTTGCCCTTGTCTCACAAATCAAATCAACGGTCGAGATTCAATCTTATCTTGAGATCGACGGCCGAGATCGAACCTTTCCCAAAAATATCCAAGGGCAATTTGGGAATTTCATAAAATTCCAAGGGCAAAATTGTCCAACTCAAAAATTAGGGCAAAATGACCAAAATGCCCTTCCCTTTTAATACTTGCCCTTTATAAACCTCCAAGGGTAAAATGGTCACTTTTCCATTTTCTTGCCGAATTTAAATTTTCTGAAGGATTCGGGAAAAATCCAAAGTTGTACGTTCCAATTACAACGTCGTCCTAACGCCCCGTCGTGACTTCCTAATTTTCCGATGCCCAATTTGGACTCTAATTAATAATTGAATTTTACTTAACGTAACTCGAGCGTTTCTCAAACTAACGGGTGGCTTTTGGGGAAATTCGCATATTCAACCCGTGACTGATAATAAATCTAGTCACGTGCAAGTTCATTCGGTTCGTGACGACTTCGGTTGTCATATAATCACGAGGTTCGATCACTAGTTCCGTCAGGCACGATCGTTCGGTATAGGTTCTGGATCATTCGTTAATTCATTTCGTGGTCCAGCGGAATCACCCGCGATCCACTACTATGACAGTGGCGAACTGACCCCTGGCTATCCTTGGATTGGCCTACAGTGGCTCAAAATGTCACCTCGACGATTTTATAGTCGAAAATCAATTCACGATCGAATTTTCTTTAGTCGCATGAATTTAAATCCCTAATTAGCTTTTTCCTAATGGTTAGTATCACAGGAATGATCAGTTCCGGGCGAGAACTAACTACGAGTACGTTCATAAAACCAAGCATCTCATAAATCTCAAATGGGCAAATTTCTGGATGTCACAACTCTTCCCCTCTTACAAAAATTTCGTCCTCGAAATTTACAATCCAACTAACGACTCAAATAAATGGGGGTATTGACGTTGCATTATCTCTTCACTTTCCCAAGTCGCGCCTTCTGTCCCGTGGTGCTTCCAAATGACCTTGACCATCGGGATCGTCTTGTTCCTCAAAACTCGCTCTTTCCGATCCTCGATCCTTATTGGTCTCTCGACATATGACACCTTGTCATCAACTTCTATCTCCTCAAAATTCAACACATGAGCTGGGTCCGGTTCATAATTTCTCAACATCGATACGTGGAACACATTATGCACTTGCGACAGATTGGGTGGAAGTGCAAGGCGATACGCTAAGTCTCCAATTCTTTCTAAAACCTCAAACGGTTCTACGTACCTCGGACTCAATTTCCCCTTCTTACCGAATCTAGATAGTCCTCTCATGGGCGATACCTTAAGAAATACGTGATCTCCTACTTGAAACTCCAAACGTCTTCGCCTTCTGTCTGCATAACTCTTTTGACGGCTTTGGGCTGTTTTCAGCCTTTCATGAATCACCTTAATGGCCTTAATCGACTGTTGAACTAACTCTGGCCCGGTAATACTCCTTTCTTCTACTTCATCCCAACACACGGGCGTTCTACAAGCCCTGCCATATAGCGCTTCAAAGGGCGTCATTCCTATGCTCTTCTGAAAACTATTGTTGTAGGCAAATTCTGCTAAGGGCAACTGCTCTTCCCACTTACCCTGAAAGTCCAATACACATGACCGAAGCATATTCTCTAAAGTCTGAATCGTCCTTTCAGACTGGCCATCCGTTTGTGGATGATAAGCTGTACTAAACTGCATATTCGATCCTAATGCCATCTGCAGACTTTTCCAAAAATTGGCGGTAAACCTAGGATCACGATCTGAGGTGATCGACACTGGTACCCCATGCAAACGAATTATCTACTGCACATACAACTCTGCATATCGATCTAATGCGAAGTCCTTTCGCACAGCCAAAAAGTGTGCCGACTTGGTCAATCTGTTGATAATCACCCAAATAGTATCATGGCCTCTTTGGCTCCTTGGTAATCCCGTCACAAAATCCATAGTTATATGCTCCCATTTCCATTCTGGATTTCCAGAGGTCGCAATAATCCTCCGGGCTTACAATGTTGTGCCTTCACTTACTGGCACGTCAGACATATCTGGCTATGTCTACCTTCATACCATTCCACCAGTAATACTGCCTCAAATTCTGATACATCTTGGTACTACCTGGGTGGATGCTATAACCACTACGATGCGCCTCCGATAAAATTTCTTCCTTAAGCTCCGCATCTTCAGGCACACATAATCGCCCACGGAACTTCAGTATCCCGTCTTCGGATATCTGGAAGTCCGGCTTTCTCTTGGTTTCATCCATCTCCAGAATCCTTTGGATTTCTTGATCCACAGACTGCAAGGTCTTAATCTTAGTCTGGATCTCCGGTTCAATCCTAAGCGTGGCCAACAAACTCGAGACTTGATTTACTTCGAATCTAAACTCCAAGTCTCGCACTTTTTCTAACAATGCCCATTCCTTAACCATCAAGTGTGCGATGCTTGACTTCCGACTCAATGCATCGGCTACTCGGTTGGCCTTCCCGGGATGATATAATATATCACAAACGTAGTCCTTCAACAACTCCATCCACCGACGCTGCCTCATATTAAGTTCCTTTTGAGAAAATAAATATTTGAGGCTCTGATGGTCGGTATAAATCTGAAATTTCTCTCCGCATAAATAGTGTCGCCAAATCTTCAGGGCGAATACTATTGCGGCTAATTCTAAATCATGCGTCGGGTAATTTAACTCATGCAGTCTTAACTGTCTTGATACATAGGCCACTACTTGTCCATTTTGCATGAGTACGCACCCCAATCCTTTCAACGATGCATCGCTATAAATTTCATACCCTCCGGGTCCTAATGGAATAGTCAACACCGGTGCCATTGTCAATCTATGCTTCAATTCCTGAAAACTCCTTTCACATTTGTCAGTCCATTCAAACCTCGTTTCCTTTTTCAATAAATGTGTCAACGGTGTCGCTATTGCCGAAAATCCTTCCACGAAACGACGATAATATCCTGCCAGACCCAGAAAACTTTGAACCTCTGTTACCGTTGTTGGTCTCGGCCACTTCATTACTGCCTCAATCTTCGCTGGATCTACTGAGATTCCTTCCCCAGAGATCACATGTCCGAGAAATGCTACTCGATTCAGTCAGAATTCGCACTTGCTAAACTTAGCATACAGTGCGTTCTCTCTTAAAGTCTGCAACACTTTATTCAAGTGAAACTCATGCTCCTCTAGGCTCTTCGAGTACACCAATATGTCGTCTATAAAAACGATTACGAATTGATCTAAGAACTCCTTAAACACCCGATTCATTAAGTCCATAAAGGCAGAAGGGCGTTCGTCAATCCGAACAGTATTACCGTAAATTCATAATGTCCGTATCTCGTCCTAAATGCCGTTTTCGGTATATCCTCCTTCCTAATCCTCAATTGATGATATCCCGTTCTCAAATCAATTTTAGAGAGCACCGATGCCCATTGTAACTGATCAAACAAATCATCAATTCTCGGCAAGGGATATTTATTTTTTATTGTCACCTGATTTAGCTGCCTATAGTCAATACATAACCTCAATGATCCATCTTTCTTCCTCACAAATAACACTGGCGCTCCCCATGGAGACGCACTTGGACGAATAAATCCTTTGTCCAATAATTCTTACATTTGCACCTTCAACTCCGACAGCGACATTCTATAAGGTGCCTTCGAGATTGACTCGGTTCCAGGTGCCAATTCGATTACAAACTCTACTTCTCTTTCTAGTGGCAATCCCGGCAATTCCTGAGGAAAAATATCGGGATACTCGCACACCACGGCTATGTCCTCTAGCCTCGGCTCCTCAGCCGTCGAATCAACTACAGCCGCTAGAAATCCTTGACACCCTTCATTTAACAACTTAAGTCATTTCTAGTGACGAAATCCATGGAATTGAAGATCCTCCTCGATTTCCCACAAATTTGAATTCCGGGTGTCCAACAGGATTAAATTGGATCACCCTGCTATTACAATCCATTACGGCCCTCTGCTTAGACAGCCAGTCCATACCCACTATCACATCAAAATCGTACATGGCTAGAACCGCTAAATCAATCCTTTCCTCCCTATCCCCAATCACAATCTTACAATTCGGGCACCCCAATGAAACTAGCATCTTATCATTCAAGGGAGTTGTCACGCATAACACAACATCAAGCAACTGCGGTTCTATACCAATCAACTCAACAAATTGCGCAGATATAAAGGAATGTGACGCCCCAGGGTCAAATAAAACATACGCAGCATGGTTGCACAGAGAAACCGTACCTGTGACAACCCCTGGCGCGTTCTCAACCTCTCTTTTGGCCATGGCATACACTCGTCCTTGCGCCTGCGGCCTATTCTGATTGGTTGTCTGGGCTGCTCCAGTCTGATTCCCGTTCCGGGGTGGCGGCAATGCTGGCGATCTATTCTGCCTGAGATTGGGGCAATACCTCACATGATGACCAAATCCGCCACATCCGAAACATGCTCCGCCCCTAATTGGACAAAGTCCATTTCCATGTCTTTCCCCGCACACCCGACATGGACCATTCTGATTACGACCCAGTTTCCCTATATTCCTTCTAGCAGGAGGGGCAAAATGTCGATTACTCGTCATCGGCCTCTTTCCTAACTGACGGTTGTCCCTACCCTGGGTAACTCTCGACCCAGAAGCGGCGGCCCTATCCGCCAAATCTCGCTCAATCGCTTAAGCCCTGTCATAAATCTCATTATACCCTCTCAGATTCAATGAAATCATTTGGCTACGAAGGTCCGGTTTCAAGCCATCTCGGAACCTTCGAGCCCTATCTATCGGGTCCTCAACCATCTTCGGGGTGAACTTAGACAATCGAGCAAATTCGGCCTCATACTGATCTACTGTTCTCTGCCCCTGCCACAACCTCATGAATTCAGATAATTTTTGTTCCCGGGCACTCTCCGAAAAATATTTGCCATTAAAGGCTTCCACGAACATCGCCCAAGTCTGGGCTGTGCCAGCCGGGAATATCACTCCTCTGGTGGCTTTCCACCAATCATTTGCATTCCCTTGCAACTGATATACGGCTAATGTTACTTTTTCCTCCTCTGTACATCCCAACACCTCAAAAGCCTTCTCTAATTCCTCCATCCATAGCAATGCACCCTCGAGATCGCCTCTACCATCAAACTTAGGAGACTTCAATTTTATAAACTGCTCGACCAATTGGTGCATTTGCCTATTTACATTCACTTGCCCCTGCCCATGATTCTCATTATTATTATTGGCAACAGCGGCCACAGCGGCCTCGGCAGCTTGGGCAATCGTAGCAGCTCGTTCTTGAGTCTGCTGTCCTATCAGATTACCAATCTGTTCAAGGGTCCTCATGACTGCTTCCATTCTAGGATCTTCTGCAGGTCGGGCTCGGACTCGCGAGCTAGACGGACCCCCAGTTCCTCTACCTCGCGTACTCATCCTCACGATTTCTACCACTCAACTACCTGCTACAATTCCACTCAGGAATTAGAAACCTAGGCCAACTAGATCCATCTAGTCCTAGGCAGTGAATTAACACAATAATTCACGCAGCAGGAATTCAATCACCACAACACAAGGCCACAATCAATAGGGTCTATGCACTTACCTCTGGTTCAGACGCACCTGTATTTCAATCGTCACAACACTCAATTCACTCAACAACCACAACAAACAATCTGGAGACACGTGTAGCTTATTCCGCCCTATGACTCGCTAAAGTCTCCCTAAATTACTACCCCAGGGTCTCTGCTCCTTATTTCTCTAGACTTCGACCAGTTTAGATCGAGCTGTCCTAGCTCTGATACCAAACCAAACTGTGATGTCACGCCCCGAACCCCATCGAGCTCACGACACACTTCTCTGGTCGATTGATGCGACATCCCAGGATATCGCCGACCCCATTGAAATTTATCAGAGATTAAAACGATCAGCGAAAGCCATCGATACCCGGACAATAATAACTTGGGTAATTAAGGAGAATAAACATACTCATTCCTCATTCAAACTTATATAATATTCACAATTTACAAACCACCATATACACAAGCACACCGAACTTCTACACTATTATCCACCGACGTCAAAAAAAGGATCGATAGCCTGGGTTTCCCTATCACCAAAAATGGAACACCTCAAATTCCTATTCCAACCCCTAAACCTAGCCCCTACGCCATCTGCTTGGCGTCCACTCTGAGTCAGATTCCTCGCCCTCTGAATCTGAATTCCCCTGGACTGTTTGCTCCTCTGAGGACTCAGGCTCGGCCTCAATCTCGATCAGGTGATTTATGTCACCCGACACTGCTGGAACCTCGTCCCGCTCCTCCGAGTCGGACTCCTCATCAAACCAGTACTCTGGTACAAATTCGGGGTCAATCCACTGCTCATACGGGAGTATATACTCCGGTTCTCTTTCAGGCTCAGCAGGTTCATCCTCGGGTTCTGCCTCGGGCTCTTCCTCTTCCGGTTCTTCCTCTGGGATCGCCTCGAGATCCACGTCCATTGGATCGTACCCCGCCTGCGATTCATCAAGCTCTAGCTCATGCTCGCCTCTGAGGGCTCAGTTGCTGCAGGCGCTTGTTGCAATCCTGACTGCGCTAGACTAGTCTCCACACTAGTCAACTCGCCAACAGGAGGAGGTATAGCAGACGGGTCCCAGTCCCCAACTCCATTAAAGGGGACGTCAAATCCACGAACGGGACCAAACTCGTCTATCCCGTCTCGAAAAAACCAAGCCGTGTACGTGTTGGCTTGCAAGAGGGGTAGTCCTACGTCTACCCAAACTACCATCGTATGCTTAACCCAGGTCATATTATCATCTATAGGAAACTCTATAACATTGTGGTCGGTGTGCACCGGTACTCCAAAACGTTCAGGTGGCGACGGCGGAGGATTCATTGCTCAGGCCGGGGTTCTGAAATTGTTGGTTGAAACAACCATGAGAATACATCTCAGCAAGCACACACCCTAAACCCCACCTAGGCTATCACGTACCTCCAGACAATCACAAACACAATCGCACTTAACCATCACATCGCAGGCACATAATTTATACTCACCTGGGCCTTTCCTGCGTGCAACTTGCACGTCAGCCACAGTAGTAAAATTCCCAATCACGTGCATGTTCTAATTACATTTCATGCATTCGTTCCACTCTCATCACATCTTTTCCACACCACTCGCCAGTGACCCGCGTAATGATACCGCTTCAGGTTCACTGCGACCAACTCATTCTCAACTCGCCAGTGACCCGCGTAATGATACCGCCTCAGGTACACTGCGACAAACTTATAACAACACTTCAAGGCCCGCGTAATGGTTCCGCCCCAGGCCGTGTATCTTGCCCGCGTAGTGGTACCGCCTCAGGCTCAACACCCATCACCTACGACACAACCCGCGTAATGGTACCGCCTCAGGTTGGTCGTCCTCCGGTAATACCGGGCATCGTCCCGCGTAGTCGTACCACCTCAGGACGAACAAATATCCCTGCGTAATAATACCGCCTCAGGGATTTCCACAATCACGCATACTACACCACACACAATTTCTTGCTTAATCACATGCTCAACACCCACTTGCCAATAAGTTGGCCAATCACACGTGGCCCGTGCACGCATCAATTCACACACATCTCATGCTCAATAAGCATCCAACACGGCCAATTGACAATTAATTCAATTCGGCCCACGCGTGCATATAACAGTACAAAACCCAGTCATTCAATCCACCACTCAAGAAACATACATGGCCACTCACGGGCCCACCATCACAGCCACATTACAAACACACAATCAACATACAAATTGCCATTTTTCCACATCCAAACTACGGCAAATCAATTCCAGCCCTTCACGACATTTTCACACAATTAAGCGCCGAATCCAAATACCCAATTTTCACACCGTACAACACATCACAGCACGCATTTCAGCCACTCGCAGCCCGCTTTTGGCCTCTAATTTTCCACCAAAATCTCCCAAATTCAATCCTTAGGCCCGCTAATCAATTCCGCCCCTAAAACTATACTAATCCGCGTCTAATTAAACTCGATTCCACCTCAAATTTGTCCGTCGATACCCGAAGTCCTAAATAAAGTTTAGGGCGCGACTTACTGAAATCTAGACTAACTCGGCTAGAGCAGAAAACGGGCGGCGGTCCACGGTGAGCGGCGGCGAGCGGCTCGGCGGTGGCGACGGCGAGCGGCGGCGAGCGGCTCGGCGGTGGCGACGGCAGCGGCGGCGAGCGGCTCGGCGGTGGCGACGGCATGCCGGCGGCTCGGCGACGGACGGCAAGTGGTGGCGGCTTCCTTTGTTGCGGTTCACGGCCACGGGAGGGTAGGGAGAGAGAGAGAGAGAAAAACCGAGAGGGTGAGGGGATGGTGGTGGCGCAGTGAACGGCGATGGCACGACGGCGGTAACCGGTGAGCGGCGGTGGCGCGGCCAAGGGGGGGCGGTCGGTCGGTGAGGGGGAGAGGGGGAGTGAACCGAGTGAGGAGAGAGAGAGAATGAGGAGAGAGAGAGAAAGGGGTTTTGGGTTTTAAACAATCCAAGGCAATGATTGAGGGGCAATTGACCATCTTGCCCTTGTCTCACAAATCAAATCAACGGTCGAGATTCAATCTTATCTTGAGATCGACGGCCGAGATCGAACCTTTCCCAAAAATATCCAAGGGCAATTTGGGAATTTCATAAAATTCCAAGGGCAAAATTGTCCAACTCAAAAATTAGGGCAAAATGACCAAAATGCCCTTCCCTTTTAATACTTGCCCTTTATAAACCTCCAAGGGTAAAATGGTCACTTTTCCATTTTCTTGCCGAATTTAAATTTTCTGAAGGATTCGGGAAAAATCCAAAGTTGTACGTTCCAATTACAACGTCGTCCTAACGCTCCGTCGTGACTTCCTAATTTTCCGATGCCCAATTTGGACTCTAATTAATAATTGAATTTTACTTAACGTAACTCGAACGTTTCTCAAACTAACGGGCGGCTTTTGGGGAAATTCGCATATTCAACCCGTGACTGATAATAAATCGAGTCACGTGCAAGTTCATTCGGTTCGTGACGACTTCGGTTGTCATATAATCACGAGGTTCGATCACTAGTTCCGTCGGGCACGATCGTTCGGTATAGGTTCTGGATCATTCGTTAATTCATTTCGTGGTCCAGCGGAATCACCCGCGATCCACTACTATGACAGTGGCGAACTGACCCCTGGCTATCCTTGGATCGGCCTACAATGACTCAAAATGTCACCTCGACGATTTTATGGTCGAAAATCAATTCACGATCGAATTTTCTTTAGTCGCACGAATTTAAATCCGTAATTAGCCTTTCCCTAATGGTTAGTATCCCAGGAATGATCAGTTCCGGGTGAGAACTAACTACGAGTACGTTCATAAAACCAAGCATCTCATAAATCCCAAATAGGCAAATTTCAGGATGTCACAAAAATCATCCTGCTAATATGTGAAGTGGCTTATTACATTTCGAGGATCCTCGGATACTTGTCTTTAATCCAGTTACTGTGAGGATTATATTACAGTTGCACGCGTACTCTTGGGAACAAGCGTTCTAATTGCATCAACCTTTATCCCGTGTGGAGAAAAGTGTGATACGATTTCAGTTTCAGGTAGACATACAAAATTCCACGGTCCTTCGGCTAAAAAAACTGGAAAAATTCCGTGTGGGATGAATTTCAAAGTTACTGAAAATTTCCAATCTCGTTGGTAGAAAAATATAATTGGTAACCTGCTTGTCAAGAACCCATAATAACTTACCAACACTACCAGAAAATTATCAACGTTCCAATAAAGTAGAAAATTACTGACTTCTCTGAAATTTTACTAGTATTGTAACAACTATCAACTAGCAGGATTCTACCAACATATCAAAGAAGTAGTAAATTCCTAACTTATTAAAATTCTACCATCATGGTTAATCACTTATCACTACTGTGAAGCATTTATCATCATTCTAATTCAGTACTAAATTACTAACTCTTCTTAAATTTTATTAGTGACGTAAGTAAATTGACAATACTGCGCCAAAGTTTTTAATAAAAGGGAGCCACCCTACTTCTCTTGGACAAAAATTTACTTCGTCGTGGTCGGGTGTGGCGTGCTCGCTCAAATGAGGAGCAAGGAATCGGAACTGGGCATGATAGGCTGCGAGTCCAATTGTAACAGCGACCGAACCGACAC